AAAAAACAATAACATTCATAATTATTTTTTAATTCAATATTCATAATTTTATAATGTGAAAATTTAAACTTCACTTATAGATGTCATTATTCATGACGCGTAACATATAATGTTCCAAATTATACGTTTGTTTTACAGTAATTGTGATACATATAATGTATTGAGAATGTTCAAAACTAGTTGACAAAATATTATGTAAATTCACACTTAGAGAAACTCAAATTTATTTTATAGTAGTTTAACTCATTGAAAATGTTTTTTGTTTGTTAGTATTGTTATTTGTCGTTTATTTTTTGGTATCATCATTCTTTGTTTTTGTTACATAGGACAAAAGACTTTTGAATTTGAAATAATATCATGTTCAAAATACACACGAATAACCAAAAATTTCTCCCAGAGTAGCCAACATAATACATTCAGTCACTGTTTTCGTAGTAGGGATCATTGATTTTCTAACACAGTTATAGGAAAAGTTTAATATTTATTTCTTACACTTCTGAACTAAACATGCTAATTATGAAGCATCCAAAATCTAGTTAGTAATAGATGTAACCAATTTGAACCATTATTCATTATTTCTGCATGCATTTGGATAGTTACAAACTTAAATAAGAGAGAATCTAAATAAAATGGACAGTAAAATTAAACCAATTTCCAAGTTATTTTACTTTAGGGTGCAGATTTGTGCCTGCAAATAACTCTACACCTCAATATCCTATCCTGAACATAGAACCCTGGCACCACCATGATCTTAACCCTGCTAGAACCTTGTGACCTTTGTCTATCAGTAACCAAATCTTCCATGTAGTGAGGATCAAAGCTTCTATTCTCTTCAACCCTTAAAATTCCACCTCAATATCCTATCCTGAACATAGAACCCTGGCACCACCATGATCTTAACCCTGCTAGAACCTTGTGACCTTTGTCTATCAGTAACCAAATCTTCCATGTAGTGAGGATCAAAGCTTCTATTCTCTTCAACCCTTAAAATTCCCAATGGAGGGTTGAAAGAAAATGCCAGCAAATGCAGCAACCATATGCACTTTGCTGCCACAAAGAAAGCCTGAAGGAGTTGTTCAGGCCAAGGCCTTGTCCAATTCAGCGAAGTGATGATGCAACTCATTTTCTGATCACAGAACTTGCTGAACTCTTCACTGTAATACTTGGTACCCTTTCTAAGCACCTCGTTCCAGCTCAAATTCCTAAGTGCAACAAATGATGAGAACTGTGCTTGGCGATCCTGTCTAGGGTCTAAGAACTTTGTGCTTCCATTCTTTTGGAACACACTGTTCTCAAAATCTTGGTAGAAGGACTGGTTTATGAAGGCTTCAAAATGGTAAATAACTGCCTTTGAGTACTTTGAATTCAAGGAAAGCCTATATGGTTGGAGG